AATATCACTTAATCTGCGTTATGGGAGCCACTTTCGAAGTGATTACGTTTTCGTAGCCATATTGTTGGCTAAAGTCTTTGGTCTTATTCATAAAAGCATAAAATAGATTTCAAAAACTGTACGAAATGAAATTTATATCAGACTCTTCTTCTTGTTTGCGCCGCGATCAAAAAACTTCGCCAATTGCTTCTCCCCTTTGCGAATTCGCGCCAGTTGCACATACCGAGCGCAGACAGGTTCTTCTTATGTTCGCGGTCACCCTTGCTTTCGTTGTCCACCCAAGGGCACCCAGTCGAAAGATGTTTTCACCGGAACCTCGTCATCCACGCGTACAACATGGCAAAGCCAGGGCATGTTCAATTTTTAAGCGCTTAACTATGTCCATGTCGCTAAAAAGCTCATACAGTTCGTCATTCCATCTTCTACGGTACCCGTCGCCCAAGCGAACAGGGTCGTAGATATTGCGTAAAATAGCTCTCTAGAAAGTACCCAAAGCCTTCTCACCTTTGTTTGACATCGTCCATGTTTCTGCGGTCATGATGAGACACTTGTAGAGCGTGATTTTTTGCGTCGTGAGAGGGTTTACAAGAGTTATTCTTCGATTGATTTGCCGGCTGACGGTGTTGGTGATGTTTATACTGGAACCTTGGTAGACAAAGTCTACTTCACTGTTATAACTGCATACAGAGTCGTGTGTCCCTAAGCGCGTGGACTCTTTATGTGTTGCCATGAGGTACTTTATCTTGTCCTCTTTCAGCGCCAAACTAACCGCTTTCGCTTCGTTATCCAAACTTGCCGACGATATCGCTATCATCTGAATACGCCAGAAGTACTAGATTTTTACTGTATATGATGCCCCTGCGATTTAAATTGGCAGCCCTCATTATGCTCTCCAGAATCAGATTGAAAAAAGTCGCACGAGAGTGAATCGCCTTGTCTAAAAACTCGTTTGGTTTCAAACAGTAGGGAAAGGTCGTGCCCGATTTGAACGGAACTGAATGTTGTACTCAACGTCTCAATATAATCGACAAAAAGATGGGACATGTCGATTTGCACATCGAGTGTTTTTTGGCCAGAATTTAGCGAACTGTAGAAATCTGCTCGATGGTGGACTTATCAGGTCTGAAGCCACACTCAGTTGGTTCGTAAATAGCTTCAATCTTTTACACAGTATCGCCGACAGGACTTTATAAGAAATATGAAGAAGGCTTATTCTGTGATACTTGACACAAACGGCGGTATCTCTCTTCGCGTGGATTGGGAAAAGTACACTGATATTCCAATTATCGTGCGGCTTAGGAGCTGGTACATGCTCTCTACCAGAACTTAGCCGTCGCCCTCGAACAGCACAGCCGGTAAACTAGCTGCTCCAGAAGTTTTATTGTTTGTAAACCGCATTTTGCTGTTCTCACCTTGCCTTGGCCGAAGGGGCGTCTATATACATTGGTTCGGGTTCTTCCTCATCAAACGCTCTACCTGTTTCGCCATATAACATTTACTTTGGACATCTGATGCCAGATTTCCATATTCGTCTTTGCAGGAGCTAGTCATTTCATTTCTGCCTTATTTTCTGATAGAATTTTCGAGATGCATTCTTGCCTGCCAGTATGTCCTCTTTTCAGGCTCACATAGCGCGAATATTTAGATATTTGAATGACTAAAAACTAGTATTTGAAATACGGAAGGCGCTATTTTATTAGCCTTTCAGATACAACTGTACTTTCAGATACAACGCTATTTATTGCCGTGTATGTATCTATCACCTGGCTTGCGCACCGTGTGGGTAGCAAATTTAGACACTATTCATTTAAGAATTCGTTTCCGAAGAAGCGTTTGAGCACTCCAATGATGCAATGGTCACGAGACTATCAGACAAGATGCTTATCTACTGAAGGCAGGTTTAGAGATTCAATACAGAGCTTCATTCATCGATACAAAGGCGGCTTGTGTTGGCAGCCTAAAATCGAGATTGACTGACAGCTCGAATGCCCATTTTTAGATCTTTGGCCGTGGCTATATAGTAAGTTGTCTTGATGATGAAACTCGAATTATATCCCCGATAGATCCTAAAATCGATTCGGGTGGAAAATCCTTTTCAAGAGTGAGAGACGTCGTTGTGTTGTTTGAGATCTAAAAAAAATCGAGCAGTGAAAGTGTTGGAGTGATCGAGTCTTAATTCCCACTACGCATTACGGTTTGCTTGGAGATTCCGTAAAAGAATTTTAGTAAATGGTCTACAGCCCGAAAGTTGAGTATGTCTTTGGAGCTTTTGTAGACTAAGGGTAGCGTTCCTTGGCAGTGAAGACTTATCTTATCTTATATAAAATAGAAATTTCTCTAATACATTTTGCTTGAAAAAAATCAGCATAAAAGAATAAAATAACAACTGGACGTATTTATACTTTCTTACAGACGAGTCTTTTGAGCACATTGCCAGTGCTATTAGATCAATCTCACCTCACCGATGTCACTATATCAGCAGAGGGACGTACGCTGCGTGCACACCGAGTTGTGCTCAGCGCGTGCAGGTGCAAAATTTCTTAATAAATCCTTCGTATCGCTAATTGTTCTTGTTTTTAACAGCACCTTCTTCTTGGAGCTCTTTCGCACCTTGGACACCACCAACCATCCAATCATAATCATACCAGGTGCTACATTCGCCGCCATTGTGGCGCTGCTAACTTTCATGTACTCCGGTGAGGTGAATGTCTTCGAAGAGCAAATACCAATGCTGCTCAGTCTGGCCGAGACTTTGGGCATTAAAGGACTTGCAGATGTGCAGAATAATGTGAGTGAGCGCTTCCATTCAAATGTTTAATCTAGCTCTTAAGTTTAACTTGTAATATTTCTCCCCAAGTTACAGAAATCTAGTAGACGCGCTGCCACTGCACCGCCAGCGCCACAGCAGCCGACGCAAGATTTTTTAGACTCTTTGCATAAAGAAGAATCAGATTCACCGGCTACACCACCTACCCCACCGCCTACATCCACTTCCATGGCACCACCTCTGGCCTGCACCGTGCCACCGCCAAGCGCACAGCTACCGCTGCTCTCTGCTGCGTCAATGCCAAGCGCTTTCAACACACCGCTACTCGGCAGCAAGCTGCCCACACCGCTGGAAAGTTTCTTCCTAAAGTCGCTGCAATTTTATCCGAACTTGCTGCCACAGCCGCTGAACTTTTCTCAAACGGCGCTCAATAAGACCAGCGAACTGTTGGCCAAATACCAGCAGCAATGCAATAGCTTGTACCAAGACGCGTTGGGTATCCCGCCTAAGGACATTTTGCCTACATTTAGTGGTACTGAAGATTACGCAGCGGCAACCCAATTAAGTACGGCAGGAGTCATCGACGATGGCGGCGGCGGCGGCGACGGCTATGGCACTGCGAAGCGTTTCTGCCTGGGAGATAGGCAACGACAAGTGAGTGTTTCCGCCACGAAGCCGCAAACGTCGCTTCTGCACTACACCCAGCATCATCAGCACCACCAGTCACCATCGCCACAAACGCATGGTCAGCATACGTTGGCGCATAGCCAGCCGACGATAATACAACAACAAAAAGACATTAAACGTATAGATAGGATAGTAGAGAATTTACGCAAGACACCGTTGAGCGGCGAGAGCGGCTCAACTGCGCTACAGCAGCATCGACAATCACCGCAACAACAGCAACATTTACAGAGTCACCTCCAAGCACCACCACTGAGCGTAAAGACGTCCCTGGGTGCCAATTATACGCCTAACTTGCCATCGCCCCAATTAAGTAGCACCAATATGCCGTGGTCCATCTCTTCGTCGCCAGCAACCGCCTCCACACAGAGTCAATTGCATCAGCATCATCAACACACACATGCGTTGTCTTACTTGAGCGCTGACGATCAGGTGGCAAAACTGCAGCAACAAATAGATCAATTTGCAAGTTGTAGTCGTAGCGCCGCTGCAGCAACAACTTCAACAGCTGCTGATAGCAATGAGAATAAGGCCAACACGCATGGCGATGGTAGTCTGCTGTCGGCATTGACAGAGAAGCCACCGAGTGGCGCGGCGAATTTATCGAGCACGCCAAACGCGAGCCCACAGCCGAAACCACCGTCAAACTCAAAGCTCTACGCCACCTGCTTCATCTGTCACAAGCAGCTTAGTAATCAATACAATTTGCGCGTGCATCTGGAGACACACCAGAATGTGCGGTGAGTACTACATAGATGGCGACTTTTTTTATATTTGTAATCTTAAAACGAAGTATTTGTTTCTGCTTTCAGCTATGCTTGCAATGTTTGCTCGCACGTGTCGCGCAGCAAGGATGCCTTGCGCAAGGTATGTAAGCCACGCAAATGCTGCTATATTTCTTTTATTCATTTCTGTCCTTTCTCATCCTACAGCATGTCTCATATCGCCACCCTGGCGCACCTTCACCCTGCGAATCGGAGGCGCGCCGCAAACGTGCCACCAAAGCGGCGAACGCGTCACCACCTATAGCCACCGCTGTAACACCAATAAGCGCTGGCGGCGCCAGCAGCACACCCACCTCACCTGCTACTGCGACAATCAGCGCGCCATTTCAACTAAATCACAGCGCCGCAGCAGCTTCTACCCCAACAACAAGCGCCAACATATCTGCATTGGACACAGAAGCGCAAATGGCAGCAGCGGCCCAACTGAGTTCAGCCTATATGTTTCTGCCGAATCAATTTCACTTAGCGGCTGCAGCTGCTGCTGCGGCACAACATCAGCAACAACAACATCAGCAGCAGCAGCAACAACAATTGCAAAATGCATTAGATGCTACAAATGCAGCGGCGGCAGTTGCTGCTTTAAATTTCGCTGCCGCTCCGGTGGCGCCTGCTGCAGCGACTACACCAACAACTGCAGCTGCTGCTTCAAATGTCGGCGAAGATAGCACAGCAGCTGCTTTGGCCAATATAAAGCGTGAGCCGAGTCCAGCTGTAAGTAGTCCAGGTACGAGACATCAAAGTGGCGGTAATCAAAATAATACTCTGGGTTGTGGTGGTGGTGGCGTAGAGAGGAGTCCAATGAATATGCCGTAGGCGTAGGAAGCGAGAAGTTTTGGCATACATTTTAGGTTAAGTAGCAATTTTCTACTTTTTCTTTAATATCAATATTTATTTGTTATTTTTTAATCAGAAGCAGCTTTATTATATAAACACCAATTTTTCTTTTGAAAGTAGCATTAAGCTACTGTTAGTTATAGGTCTTTAGATATTTTTATCATACCAATTGATCCCATCGTTAGCCCCGGCTGTGATAATTAGTGGAAACATTTTAATTAATTTTTTTCTTTGTTTCAATTACTTTTTAATTGTAAATTTAATATTTAATAGATAATTTTATTCAGTCTTTATTTCACTTTTTGACTAATTTCCGCAGTTAAAGCTTCACCCAACTTATTAACATATGAAAGTTTCACCTTCACGTTAAAAATCGAGTTTAGCAAGCCTTTTAGCCGACGTTGTCTTAAAAATTTAATATTGAATTTCATATAAAATTTAAGCACAAACGCGATAGACTATAGTAGGAGAACTCAAGGGGGGATTCGGGGATTTACTCGGGCGCATCAGATTAACATATGGGGGATGCCGTGCATCCTGTTGAGTACCTCTGCCAAATCTAAGCGCATCTACAGCTCATCAGAAAAGTAAAAAAAATTTATGGGTGCATTTACTTGAGCGCGTCAGATTAAGAAATGGTGGGTTAATTAATTACAAGCTGAAAAGTCTGCAATTCAATAATCTGACAATTTGAGCGTGACGCAAGGGATTGGGAGGGTTGCAAACTTGCAAAAAAACGTTACCTTGACATTCTCGAGCACGGTCAATTTTTTTTATTATGAAGCAAACAGCTGAAGGGTAATGGGAAGTATATAATCTGACGGCTTCCACAAGCCGGAGTAACAAAAACCGTCAACAAAGATTGTCGCGTGCACCTGCTGCTTTTCAAAACTACTTCAGATTTTTCTACGAAATTTGTTATTTTTTTATTTGTTTGCTGTTTTCCGTTCATATTAGTTGCGATCGATAACAAAATTAGCCAACACCAGCTAACAATCAAAATCAAGAGCGTAAGCGAAAATTCTCTCCCAAAGAGAAGAAAAAGCAAAAAAGTAAACGAACAGGAAATTAGCCATCACTTGCAAAAACCGGAAGAAGACACACCAGCTGACTTTGTTTATGTTTTATTTGTAAACAAACTGAAAATCATGTTGCCTCCATGGTAGAAATAAGGAACATTGCTAGAAGTAAAAACTAGTTGGCGCTATCATAAAGTCACATAGCATGCAGCCAAAAAGCATATAAATACCAAAACTCGAAAAATGCAATTTTGTTTGTTTACAAAAATTGCAACCATATGTTTTGT